CACACACACACACACACACACACACACACACACACACACACACACACACACACACACACACACACACACACACACACACACACACGCGCGCGCGCGCGCGCACCCCGATCGGAAGTGAAATGAATATGGAAGTATGAAGATGAAGGACTGACACAAAGACTAAGATCTGAAGTGAAATGAACAGTGCTCTTATCAGCACCCCTTATCAGCACCCCTAGCAGCATCCCGGACTGTTAAAAAAAGAAAAAAAGAAAAAAAAGAAAAGAAGAAGAAGTGAAATGAACAGTAGTATGAAGATCGGAAGAGAAATGCACAGGAGCATACCCTTCCCTTTTACTCTGCCTCCTGTTATAACGTTCAAGTGGGGCGTTAAGGCACACGGGCATGTGGGCAGCTGCCGCTCAACCACCATCAACAGGGGCAGCCCCTTGTACGTGTGTGGCATAGCAAAAGAGGAGCTGTCGCCCCGAAGAACCCCCAGCTAAACACAGTTCCAAACACTTCTTCTATAATGATTCATGTTGCTTGCTAAAAAAGTGAAATTCTTTCATCGTTGAGCTGGCTCGACTCCTATCTACTCGTCTGGATGGAATAGGGGCTGTTGTGGTGCAATTTTTGAAAAACACACGCACCAACAAAAACACACGCACCCACCCACACGCACAGAGTAGTATGTATCTCTGTCTTCCTTCTTTCTTTTTATTCTTACTCTCTGGTTGTCCGAGTAATCACTTCCATGAAGTGCCAAGTTGTCGGTGGTTCGGTGGGGTTTCTCATTGGAGTGCCTGCAACATTATTAGGTAGACCGCTCTGTTCGGGATGTGTGTCAGTTGGTGCAATTTCCATCCCCGATGACAGACATACTTCCGTTCCGGTGCCTTCCTGGCTCAGGAAGGGTGGCAGGACCACACAATCTGCGGGGTTCCACTTGTCGTGTGAGTAGGTAATGGATTGCTTTGGTCGGTGTTGGACGTGTGGACTGTCGTGTGCGTGCTCCTCCGCTGCCTTGCTGCCCACCCAGTTGCCATGCCTTTCGCTGCAGCTTGTCTGTTTGCCCTGTAGTTCGGTTCCCTTGTCAGTGTTGCTGTTACATGCTGAGTCTGCACACGGGCCCCTTTTCGGGGGTGCGACGGTTGCTGAAGGCCCCCAGGCTTGCTTGTCTGTTTGCCGTGTAGTTTGGTTGCCTTGTCAGTGTTGCTTTGTGCCTCACTACATTGCAGCTGCCTTCACGCCCATCTGTGTGCGTGCACTTTCTTTGTGTGCCATGACGTTTGGCTGCTTTGTCACCGCTGCCTTGTGCTTCACTGTGTTGTTGCCTTGGTGACCAGCCACTTGCGCTGTCTTTCCGAGGAGCTAACTGTGGCGCTATGTAGTGTTTTTTTTTTTTTTTTTTTTTTTTTTTCAATCAAGAAGTTCATTATCAACTCAAACTGAGGCCAGGGACCGCAATTCAGCCCGGGGTTATCCTGGCAGCATCAGCCAGTTTAGTTTATGGCACTATGTAGTTGGGTTGCTCGTGAGGGATGCCATGTTCTGCTTGTGGTGGTGCCGGCAGGCCGTCCACTTTGAACAGGGCCTAAAAGAGTCCATGACTCGAAGCATCAATATCGGGATTCCGCAGATTGTCGCGGGTTCAGCTTCCTGATGAGTTGGTGCTAGTCTTTTTGACTTCAATTTTTTTTTCCTTTTTTTATTTTTATTTTTCAGTCTTGTTCTTGTGTGTTTTCCTGTCTTCCACCCCTTCAACATTCAGATTGTCCAGTGCAGAGTTATGTGTGAATTATCTTCTTCAAGTCTTCGTGCATGGTTTTCTCCTAGAGGGTCAATGGTCGGAGTACAACTGTGTGGTACTGGAGCTGACACAATGTGCATTTGCTCACATCATCACACACACACACTAGGATTGCAGGGTTGATGTGAGTAAAGGCGGCCACTTTTCTCATGTGTATCGCTAACTGTGGGCAATGTGGTCAGTCCTTGCAGACTGTCAGGATTAAACCTCCTGCTGAGTCAGTGAAAGTCCGCCAAAACTCTCTCTCTCTCTCTCTCTCTCTCTCTCTCTCTCTCTCTCTCTCTCTCTCTCTCTCTCTCTCTCTCTCTCTCTCTCTC